TGAAGAGGTGAACAACGAAATTGAAAAGGTAAACAGCGACAATGAAGAGGAAAACAGCGACAATGAAGATGAAAACAGCGACAATGAAGAAGTGAACAACGACATTGAAAAGGTAAACAGCGACAATGAAGAGGAAAACAGCGACAATGAAGAGGAAACCAGCGACCATGAAGAAGTGAACAGCGACATTGAAAAGGTAAACAGCGACAATGAAGAGGAAAACAGCGACAATGAAGAGGAAACCAGCGACAATGAAGAGGTTAACAACGACATTGAAGAGTTCACCAGCAGATTTAAACATTTATTACACATCCCACCAACGGACGTAAGTAGCAGCGAAGATAAATTAGTTGCTCACCAAGGAACTAATTCGAACTTGGAGATCTCGTCATCGAGTAGTAAAAGTGGACAGTTAGAGACCAGCACTCCAGATGAAACCATGAGCTATGAGGATATTAACGATGAAAGTAGAGATGGAGATGGAGAAAAGAATGATATGAGAAATGCAACTTGTTACGTTTGCGGTAAATTTATCTTAGTTGTAGTGAACGTACGGAACGTTCACTAAAAATAGTTTGTGAACGCGTTCGCTAAAAGATTTTAACGTTCGGAACATAAGGAACGTTAATTGTCGATGTTGATAATAGTCTTGCTTAGATTTTCAGACAATAGTATTAAGATTCCTGTTGGGTTTCATCGGTGTAATTTATTACAAATATTATCTGTTCACATTAAAGTTAGCAAATTTTGCTTTCCGCAATAGAAACCATAAAAGTGATATGGTTAGTCTTGCCAACAAAAGGTGGCTCGAGCTCCATTCCCCCTACATTCAATAGGGTTTTGTGTTCACCCGGCTTATCAGAGATATGATCAGCACACGAATCAGGATGTCTGGAAGGAGTTTCTAAATGTCATGGACACGTGGTGTGACGGCGCAACAAAGAAGAAGATACTTTCGCAGTACACGTTCTACCGAGAGAAAAGAGGCTTATTCTCTACTGACGCTGCCTCAAGTTTTAGCCAAGATTCTGACGATCCAGTCTCTTGGTGGAGCTTAACTTCGGTTGCGAGGTGCCCGAACTACAGAGTTTTGCAATGAAAGCGCTGTCGCAATCGACATCAGCCTCACCCTGTGAGACGAATTGGAGCTTGTACGACTGGGTGATAAACAAAAAAAGAAACCGCCTCACAGTTGACAAGCAGTGAGACCTTACTTATGTTAACGCAAGTTTGCGTCTTATGAACCATTCACGAATTAAGGAGCAATAATTTCATTACTATTTGCTATACTAGTTTTTTTGCTACTTTTTTATTCATTATTATTTATTTAGTATTTTACTGTCTAATTCCGACAGCATGGTTTTATCTCATTGTATCCATCTAAAGTTAAAAACTATCGGAAAAATTATCAAAATATTGATTAACGTTCACTAACGTTCACAAACGTTCACTACAAAATGATTGGAACGTACGTTCAGTACGACTAAGTTCAGCGTTCACTACAACTAAGAAATTTATGACACCAAATTGTACTCAAATCTCTTGTACTATTGCTAAATGCCCGAACAAAGCCCATCAAATGTGCGCCAAAATATCTCATATCGATTATTTTAAAAAAGGAAGGGTCCGTTCGAAATGCTTTCCTTGTAAAGGCGAACCAATACCGACCCTTAAAAAAAGCAGCTGCCTCGTGTGTTCGGAAACTATAGGGCAAAAAGTCAATCGATTGACGTGTAAAATTAAAACATGCAAGAATGAATGCCATTTCAAATGCACAAAACTGGAGCGGGGTCGTTACGAATACTTGTACTGTAATAATGCTTGGGAGTGTGACACAGACGATTGTAAGAAACTACCCCGTCCAGAATCTGGTACCATCCGGCAGCCCAATCTCAAATTTCTACAATGGAACGCAAGGGGCATCAACACAAAAACTGAGGAACTTAGCGCGCTAATGAAGAAGGAAAATGTAAATATAGTTCTTATCCAAGAAACTAAGCTCACGAACAATTGTATAAAAACTCCAGAAATACGCGGATACAAAGTTAAAAGAAAGGATAGGCTCCTAAGGCCCGGCTATATAAGTAAGGGTGGAGCCGGTGGAGGACTGATTATGTACATAAAAGAAGATCTGAATTTCAAGAGAAAAGAAGGCTTTGAACTTGACAGAGGAAATGTAGAAACCCTCAGTGTCAGCATCCAGCAAAAGAACGGAAAATGGTTTGATATAACAAATGTTTACTACCCTGGGCCCAAACCTGGGAGTAATTCGTCTGACGAGGCAAATATCGATTGGATCCCTGCATCCAACAACTGCGTGATTGCTGGTGATTTTAATGCCCACAATAAGCAATGGGACGAACAACCTGAAAACATCATGGGCAACAAAATTATTCAATTTATGAACGATAAAGATATGGTTTGCTGCAATAACGGATCACCCACGTTTGTACATGGGTAAGTGAGCGCTAAGATGAAATGGCCATTGGGTTTCATTATATATTAGGACAAATTGACAAAAAATTACATTTCTGGTGAATGATAAACTAAATCGTGCATGATTGTAACCGTTCATAATTTATAAATGCATGCTGTTCGATCCGTGTGAATTATAAACATGAAAAGGTTAAATTTTACTTTTTTGAATAGATGTAAGTTTTGCAAAACCAAATTGCAGCCAGTTGTTGCAATTTTTAATTGCAGTTTTATTTTTATTTTTATCTTTCTACAGGGAGAGGAGAAGGAGAAGCGGTACCACCGAGGGTAAAAGTTCCCCTGACATAACTATGGTCTCCAAAACCCTTGAAAACTCATACTCGTGGCAGACTGCTGAAAATATAGGTTCAGACCACCTACCTATCATATTTGAAATCACAGGAGATGAACATGAAGTAGAACTTGATAGGACCTTATTTGAGGTTTAAGTCGATGTATGAGTATTTAGTATAACTGGACATAACATTGTAGATTACACAGTACACAATACACATGGGTAAAGAGACACAATTTATTAGCAGAATTTTATCGCAACTTAATCATTTTTATTGCGATAAAACAATAATTTCAGACTGATTTTTATTTTGTAATATACTGACGCATGTTTTAAATTTCTAACCTAGAAAAATATGAACATATTTCCTAATTTTCCTTATGTTAACTAATGGTAGTAAACCGCCAGTAAATACTATACGAAATTTCAATTATTATTCATCTGATAATTTACAAACAGAATAAACACTTTTTAATCGATGATAAGAAAATATTACAATTACAATAAATTGATTTAGTTTTTCAAAATAAAATTTCCGATACAATTGAAAAATATTTCTTTGTTTTAACCAATAAAAAGATTCCTTTCGAGATCTTAGTGATGAGATAAAATTACAACAATCAGCTCCTCTCAGTGGCGTAACGTTGCCCGGGGCCCTTCATTACGCCAACTTGCCCAACAATGAATTAATTTAAATTCAATTATACCTTTAAGTCATCATCATGATTATGCATGCGTAATATTACCAAACGTGACGCTCGCGTTCAAAAGATTCAACATATTTGCTCCGTTTAATTGAGCGAACAGAACAATATCATAGAAGCCGGGATGGTGGTACCATCTCCTCACGACCTCCTTCTGGGAGAGCAAGATCTATCAACACAGAGCTGAAAACGAGGCGTCACATGGCAGTGGGTACGAGCAAAACGTACCACAAAGACATGACACGGCTGGGAAATGAGATGGAGAAGATGAAGGGACAAAGAGTAGAGCTGGAGAAACTTACAAAACAGCTGATAGAAGACCGGGACTTGGCAGATAGACGGCTCCTGAGCTTGAAACCCCAGAAGAAGGTAATGAAGCGGTACGTGGTTAACTGTGCGTGCTCTACCACACCCCCTCGCGGGAACCACCCCCGACACAGACAGTCCTCTCTCGTCCACTTGTCCTCCTCTTCTACCAGTCTAAGTTCTGATGGTTCAACTAAACCTAGGAGCAGAGTTCACACTTCACAGTATGATTATATCAGAACCGGACAAAGAGGAGGGATGGAATGTTAGGGTTCTTACTCCGGCTAAATTATCGGACTTCAATAATCAGTATATCACAAGGGACAGTCACTTTTACTGATGTTTATGTTATTTCTTATGAGATTTTCCCGATAAAGCGATTTGATTTAATAATGTTAGATTTGAACAATGTTTTCGCCGTATTAACCATTCAAATTTTCACATATTCATGTTATAATTTTATTTTGATTAAAGTTTTAGTGGAATGGTGAAATGCTATAAAGAAATCTAAAACAAGAAAACACATCATATCTAAATTAGGGCTAAAGGACTTAATTCATTTATTCGGCTACAACAATATAACCTCGGCCCAATAAAATAAACAGATTTATCGATATTATTTCGTAAAATTCCATATAATAAACTTGTTTTACTGTTACTTGTTACAGTTGACGATTTAAAGAATGTTGCTCTGCATAAAACCGTCACAAGTTCTGGTGGCGAGCTTGTTACAGAGGCTACTGATGGGAATCAAGACACTTGCTTCTCAACCAAGTATGTACTGATCAAATTGTTTAAAACCCTTCGTGTCCTACCTATACAAATAATTTGAACGTTATAGCGTAATTATTTATATGAATTGATAGCATATTAATAAGGTAGCTACTAGCTGGAGACGATTTACACATGTATTTTGAAAGCTCCTGCTAAAACAAACTTTTCGTATCACTTATATTATGTTTTAAACAAATCCCCCTCCAGATAAGGTAGCACATTAAAAAGACGTTACAGATTTATGTTGTTTCGATGATGTTACAAATACAAGATAATACTCACGTATTTGACTGTACTACATATCAATATGAATAATAATTACGTCCAAGGTGTATAACGTAGTTATATAACGTCCATAAGTTATATTTTCACTTGGGTCACTTTATTTCCTCAGTGTTTAAATTAAACAAATCATAACTTTTAAGTATCTCAAATCACAGAGAATCAACGAACCCCTACTTCAAACTGGACCTGGGAAGAGCAACTAAGGTGCAAAGAGTTGAAATCATATCAACTGATCCCAAAAGCATTATTGGAAGCAAAGTTCACATCGGAAATAGAGGTCAGAATTATATCAATAAAATTATCTGCGATTATATTAAACAATTCTGACGGTATATGCGATCACGCACACACGTGCGGTCGTGCTAATTAAAGCGTTTATCAGGATACCATATACTATACCACTAGCTCCGACACGATCCCAATAATCTCGTGAGTTTTTCAGGAGATTTTCTGGACAAAAGGATCGGAGTTATCCGAGAAGTGGAAGGAAACAGAGCATTGATAGATTTGGAAGAGAGTGTGGAAGGTTCCAGACTATTTTGGGAGTTCTACAGTGGAGGAAGTGTAAGAACTTTGACTGTTTGCGAGATAAGGGTCCTGGCAGGTGATGGGGATGAAGATGGTGAGAACTAAGTTTATTTTGATATTCCTGGGAGTATACTGCTTTAATGATAATCTTACAAGCGAACTTAAAGCTTAAAACTTAAAACTCTAATAAAATTGATCTCAACGTCAATTGATCTAAAACACATTTATCAGAATTTGAAGAAACAAAACAAACTTTTCCACTATGTTTTACCTACTAAATATTCTCAGATACGGAGGATTGTCCCCAGGGGACGGTAAAGTGTTCTGATAGAGTGTGTCGTCATGCACATATGTGCTAAGTTCAACTGGACTATGTCGTTCAAGCGTTCCTCAGGGTATGACGTGCACAATTTGTCGATTGAAGTTTAATAATCTCGCAGAAATAAAAATCCCTGGTTTTCTTTGTGCAAATAAACTTAAAGTAGTAGTTTAATATTGAATATCTAACCCAGGAATTTAGTACGACACACTACATTGTAGTACAGACAGATCCGTCTGAAAAAATCGATCTGCCGACACACAAAGCTTACAAAGGATTTTTGACGTTTTTGAGTCCTTTTTGATGTCCTTTATGGCTGACCAACTTTTCCAAACTTTTCCACGTGTCTTAAGGCCACTTTTTGCCACTTTACCACTTTTTACCACCTTTCTTGTTTGTCGAATATCTTTAGTTGTGAACATCGTAAAAGGTTGCGGATCAATCGAGTGTGTTCATATCACCATGAAGAAAAACTTTTGTTCTAACAATTTTTACGTCAGATAATCAGTTAATTGGATAATTATCAATTAGCTAATTAGCAAAATTCTAGAAATTTTTTATTGGCTCAAAATGATCGAAATAGCTTAAAACACGGAGAAAAGTAGTTTTTAGAAAAACTTTGAAAATTTTTCACTTACATTTTTTTTCGAGACTTTGAAAAATTTCGAAAATTTAAAATATTTTTTTCCGCCAAAAGTGATCAAATCGCATGAAACGCGGAGAAAAATGCTTTTCAAAAAAACTTAGTGAATTTTTCGTTTCAAGAATACTTAAATCACCAATATTTGTAGTTGGAGTTCAGTAAATCGCGGCAGATTTTAGTAATCAGGAATTACTAAGTGGAAAGGTCTGAAACTGAAAAACGTTAACCATACGATATAAGAGTTTCATAACTAATTACAATACAGCCTTATCAATTTTCACAGAAACTGCACCAATGGCACAGTCAAGATCGAAAGACGAAACGATAGCTTGCTGTACTATCATTTTATTGATTTCAATGATGAATCAGTGGGGTTAAGATAATCACATTTGTAATAAATAAAACCTCTCTGTACCGTCAATTGTGCTAATCTAAACCGGCCTACGCGCGAAAAGTGGCATGCAACGTATGTCAACAAAACAGAAAGACAACTGCTCGAAAAGGTGAAGATTATCAGGTTTCAGCATGGCTCGCTCCAAATGGAGTGGAAATCAGAGCACAACGAGGTTTTCTTCCGTTCAGCTCCATTTCTGCAGCAGAAAGAAGAGAGATTGATCCGGCTAGGTATAATCATAGCTTTCCCAAAAAATCAATCACGGGTAATAGCAGGCGCTAAAAAGAAAGATATAGTTCAAAAACTTTGTAGACTCATGAGCCCCCGATTTTTTCGTCAAGTTTTAAACATAAATAGATATATTCTCGATGGTATTGCCTTAATAAACAGTGCCATCTGGAGAGAAGATTTGTAGGATACAATACTTGAGTAGTTACAGTGTGCCTCGTGACGTGTAAAGCTGTAGGTACTTCGCACAACAATAGTTGGAGAACGCAACATTGTTCACACACGTTTCGTGTACCTTCTAAGCTTATCAATCACCACAGTGAATGGGATATTGACTTTGAGTAGAGGAGTAGGGAATGTTAGGACATGATTGGATCTTGTGATATAAAGTAAGAAAAGCTCATCGCATGTAATATAACTCAACAAGCTAGTATATTTTTACTACAAGCTTACAGGAAAAATGTTTTATCCTTTTATTTTGTGCTCGATAGACTCGGCCTGGGTCAGCTGCCTTATAGAGCGAAATATATGTATTCATTTCTATTTATATATAGCTTATCTTACATACCTCATATTCACGCTGTTTTCAATCTACCTTTTTGTTCGTATTGATTCGCTATCAAAGGAACAGTTTCAATATTCCGAATTATTACAACCTGTTCCTGACCATTTTTGTTCCTGACCATTTTTATGAGTGTTGTGCCTTATAACATGGTAATTGGTAAACACTAAGTTATCTGCTTACCTAGCTCATAGGCTTCCTCAAACCTGTACATCCGCTAGCTGAACGCTTTATTCAAGGAAATTTAAAATCAGTTATGTTATATAGTTTCTTGTTATCATCTATCTATTTACGATCTAGCTCCGTAATATAAATTGTACGGATTTTTATTTGCCGATAACGATAAAGGTTTTATTTAAGTATTCCCTAATCAATACTTTTACTGCATTAAAAAACATCAATCACAGCCAAAGTTATGGATAGTCATAGCGTAAATTGTATTGTGAGCTAGTTATGACGTATCATAGTGCATGACAACGCGCGTTGCTAATCTGTTCTTGCTCGCACACGTGCAATCTCTTGATGTTTACCTTTGCTAAAAAGCTAAAATAACGCTATTTTCTAACGTTTATTTTACCTCACTTTCGAGTTCGACGTTAATTATATATAATCTAAAGCTTTAATCAAAATTCTAAGAATGCCATAGCCTATTCCTATCCTTTTTTTACAACTCTGCTGAAAAAAATGGCAAGGTTTTAACTAGAACTCCATTTGCGAGCTGAAATTGGTCACGCCAGAGGGTCATTTTTAGGTCAATTTTTCGTTAAGCACTTTTCTAAGAAATTTAAACAATAATTTGTGATTTTTAGGCACTTTTCGAGAAGTAAGGATGATGAAACCTTGTCATAAGTCTCAAAAATCGACAAAGCACATTACAAACATAGTGGGTGCAGTTTAAATGTGGCAGCAGCTAGCCCAGAGCAATTACAGAATTGAAATCTTTAAAGTCAATTTGCACAAAATGAACCTTGTGTTACTTAAGCACTTTTGTCAGAAAACGGTAGGACTAAGGGGTGCACCATAAAAATAAACTTGCTCGGATTTTTAAAATTTTTGTACCATTGTTTTCTAGAGACTGTGAGAATTTTCACAATACCAAATTTGTCATACCTTTTTGGAAAAATCAGTGAGTTTCGCCTAGGTGCCATATTCGATGGTGCGCGGCTTTTGGAGCAAAATTAGCTGTAAAAGTCGCGTAATTTGACCAAATTTGACCAAATTCGTTGATTTTTGTCGTATTATTTGGATATATCTTCAGTTCCTTGAATGAGATCATTCTGAAAATTGGCGACGACCTTCCAATAGGGCTTTCACAACTGTCCGAAAAATTTGGTGGATATCGGAGTTGATATAGTGATCAAAATGGGGCAAAATACGCTGCTTTTAGCTGTAACATAATGTCTGATGGTTGGATATGCTATAAACTTTTCGGACACCTTCCTTGTAAGTCTATGAGTAAGCTTACCAATTTTTGTTGCAATCGGAGGTCGGGAAGGATACTTAATATCTATTTGTTTGAAGAAAATTGTGCTGGCCGAAATTAGCGCTAAAAAACCATCCTACAGTCGGCACGCGCGGCTCACTGTCGATGGCGCACTACCTAGTAGGACCATGTGTTAAGTCTACGGCGGCGCCCGGCCAATAGGCAGGTCACACATTTTTTGCCAGGCTTGTATAACCGCGTCATAGTACTCAAGCGAACAACCATCCCCCTGTTCGCTAGGGCCGTTACTGCAGAAAGCCTCACGTCTAGAACAATTTATCATTTGTCGCTCCTCATCCTAGAGCATCCTTGTCTCGTTACTTGTCACATGTAATTTTTCTAAAGAGGAACTGTATGGTGATATACAGAAAGAAAATCTGTAGTAGATTTTCAAAGACGACTGATAATATTGCGGACGCCACACCAGCAATATGACAACCATACCATAATCCCACATTCGCATGTACCTTTATAGTGCTTAGCACTGTCCCAACTGCCAAAATATTGCCAACACCTTTTGCCCAACAGAATTGCCAGCTACAGTTATACACTGTGCCTCAAAGAATATGGTGGAAATCACGTGAGGGTGAGATGGTAGGCCGGTATAATATGTAGTGTAGTGCTGACACCTAAACAAGGACTGAGTGCAGTAGGACGGTATTATGCAAGTGTGGAAGTGATTCATTCGGGGTATTTTTGCGATTCTGTTTAAATCACTCATCACTCTCTTCGCTAGCCTCACCACTCTTAAATCATGGTTTTCTCAGTCTACTCAACAAAATATTGTTATCAGATTACATAGGATAGTCGTATAAAATCTGACTTTTATCTCACTAATAAAGTAATAAGCCTCTCCCAACAGATTCATCACATTAAATAATAAGGATAAGTCGAAAAGGGTTCGGATCCGGAGAGGGTGCCCCCAAGGTGGTATCCTTTCCCCTTTCCTCTGGAACCTGGTAGTCGATGATCTCCTGGCCTACACCGCAAGACCAGGTTATCTGCAAGCTTTTGCGGACGATCTGATTTCTCTAGCAGAGGGGAATGATTTAGATATCATCCGCAAAACCATCAACACAATAGAAAAATGGTGCCAAACCAAAGATCTATGCATAAGCGCACTCAAAACACAAATAGTCATGTTTACCTGGAAGTGGAATAAGAAATGGACACTAAGACCTGTGGTGGTGGGTAACACCACTATAGGTCTTTCCGAATCTGCCAAATTCCTAGGAGTGACCCTCGACAGCAAGCTCAATTTTAATGAATATATCACCAATACCACCAAAAAAGCTACGGCATCCCTTATGCAATGTAAAAGAGCTGTCGGCCCCACATGGGGTATGGAGCCCCAAAATATGCAAATGGATGTACACCGCTGTCATCAGACCTATCCTATCATAATGCTGTAGTATATAGATTAGGGCAATCCAAACAGATACCAACGCGAGGAAGTTCAAAAGAGTTCAGGCATTGGCATTGAGAATGATGTCTGGTGCCATGCCTATTGCCTAATACTCCCTTCATCGCACTGAACCACCTCACTAACACTTCAGAAATCATACTTTTCCTGAGAGGCGAAGCAGCAAAGGGTACTGCCAGGCTTCAAGCCTATGGTAGCCTAACCCTCGAAACTATCGCCCCCAGAAAATGTACCATCACAACTCACACCACTATCAACAAACAATTCATGGTAGACCTCAACATACCACCCAAAGCAGAGAGAGACCTATCTAATCTATACCTACCATGATGCTTGAACGACGCTTCACGGTCACCACTCCTGAAGCTGACAACATTGAATATAGAGGCTCACTCCAAAACACCATCGACAACATACCCAGTGAAACCATCACAAAGCTACACAGACGGGTCACGCACAGACTCGGGTAGCGGGGCTGGTTATATTATCACCACTGACAACAACATCACTACACTAAAAGAAAGATCATTCAAGCTTCCCGATTATTGCACCGTTTATCGAAGCTTGTAAATATCTCTCAACTTATACCAACACACACATCATCATATGGTCAGACAGTCTCTCCTCTATTCAAGCTATATCCTCACCCTCAACGAGGAGTAGAACTAATAGAGACTGTTACGACACCCTCAATACACTCGGATCCACTAACACCTTAGAGATCAGATGGATAGCTGCACACATCGGATTGTGGGGTAATGAAAAAGCAGATGATCTGGCCAAAATTGGCACAACCAGTGAATCCACTTTGAATTGCCCAATTCCACAATCTTACATCAAACGCCTGATCGACGACAAAGTCACCAAACTTAATCAAGAATCATGGATTACTGATGGTCCTAGACACACTAAACTGACACTTGGACACAAAATCATCAACATCATCAAAAATGTCAACACTACACTCAGTAACAAAAGACAAAATTACAGAACTGCAGTGCACCTATTCACGGGACATTCATGTGGCCTTAACAAACACCTACATACCATTCGCAAATTAGACACACGTGCTTGTGGAGACTGTCTCACACTTTCTTGGACAGTGCCCGGCTATTGCCCAAATAAGAGGTCAATATTTCCGGGACTACTACCTCTCTGTCAATGACATATTCGACAACCAAAACATCTCCACCATCGTCAACTCCCTGCCGAACCTACCTAAAGTAACCTAAAGTAAGTAACTACTCACGAAGTACTGTACACGATGTTTTCAACCCACGAGTCACTAGTCAAAGAGCAAGCTCAACTGACGGCTCCCAGATGGCGTATGCACATGTAGGTGAATCAGTCTGATCAAGTAGTTGGTTGGGCTGTGATTGTATCAACCCTGAGTACCCAGCAAGCAGATATTTGAATTGACTAGATTTCCACTGGTCAGCGATTCGGAAAATCATGGGCCAGCATAGTGCCAGGGGCGGGTATGATCCGTCAACCTCCGAGTTACATGCCGGGTGCTCTACCAATTGAGCTACCGGCCCTATTCAGCTCAGGAAGTAATCCACAGGAATTAATCCACATATGTATAACTACACTCTCTAAGCCACAAGAGATTCCAGATCAAATATTGGCACACACTAATCACTATGTAAAGCTATGGCTCAATGGCTGTCTACTTCATATTAACCTCGATCAAACTTTTTTCTACGGTTTCTTTACGTTAGTTCGGTTTGTTATCATTTATTTCTTTGCTTCATGTAACAATATCTCCGCCAGGTTTAGGTATAACCCAACCTTGATCTGAGGATCTGATACCACGGCCATAAAGTAGAACACGGCATGAGTAACAAAAATGAGGGTTCATCTTCAAGCAGCATCATTAAAGAGGTAAACAACGACATTGAAAAGATAAACAGCGACAATGAAGAAGAAAACAGCGTCCTTGAAGAGGTGAACAACGAGATTGAAAAGGTAAACAGCGACAATGAAGAGGAAAACAGCGACAATGAAGAAGTGAACAACGACATTGAAAAGGTAAACAGCGACAATGAAGAGGAAAACAGCGACAATGAAGAGGTTAACAACGACATTGAAAAGGTATACTCAGACTTGGAGATCTCGTCATCGAGTAGTAAAAGTGGACAGTTAGAGACCAGCACTCCAGATGAAACCATGAGCTATGACGATATTAACGATGAAAGTAGAGATGAAGATGAAGAAAAGAATGATATGAGAAATGCAACTTGTTACGTTTGCGGCAAATTTTGGAGACCAAATTCTACTCAAATCTCTTGTACTATTGCTAAGTGCCCGAACAAAGCCCATCGAATGTGCGCCAAAATATCTCAGATTGATTTAAAAAAAGGAAGGGTCCATTCGAAATGCTATCCTTGTAAAGGCGAACCAATACCGACCCTTAAAAAAAGCAGCTGCCTCGTGTGTTCGGGAACTATAGGGCAAAAAGTCAATCGAATGACGTGTCAAAGTCAAACATGCAAGAATGAATGCCATTTCAAATGCACAACACTGCAGCGGGGTCGTTACGAATACTTGTACTGTAATAATGCTTGGGAGTGTGACACAGACGATTGTAAGAAAAAACCCCGTCCAGAATCTGGTACCATCCGGCAGCCCAATCTCAAATTTCTACAATGGAACGCAAGGGGCATCAACAACAAAACTGTGAAACTCAGCAAGCTAATGAAGAAGGAAAATGTAAATATAGTTCTTATCCAAGAAACTAAGCTTACGGACAATTGTATAATAACTCCAGAAATACCCGGATACAAAGTTGAAAGAAAGGATAGGCTCCTAAGGCCCGGCTATATAAGTAAGGGTGGAGCCGGTGGAGGACTGATTATGTACATAAAAGAAGATCTGAATTTCAAGATAAAAAAAGGCGATGAACTTGACACAGAAAATATAGAAACCCTCAGTGTCAGCATCCAGCAAAAGAACGGAAAATGGTTTGATATAACAAATGTTTACTACCCTGGGCCTAAATTTAAAAGTAATCGCTCTGACGAGGCAAATTGCTCTGACCAGGCAAATTGCTCTGACGAGGCAAATTGGTCTGACGAGGCAAATTGCTCTGACGAGGCAAATTGTTCTGACGAGGCAAATATCGATTGGATCCCTGCATCCAACAACTGCGTGATTGCTGGTGATTTTAATGCCCACAATAACCTATGGGACAAACAACCTGAAAACATCATGGGCGACAAAATTATTCAATTTATGAAAGATAAAGATATGGTTTGCTGCAATGACGGATCACCCACGTTTGTACATGGGTAAGTGAGCGCTAAGATAAAATGGCCATTGGGTTTTATTAGGACAAATTGACAAAAAAATTACATTTCTGGTGAATGAGAAACTAAATCGTGCATGATTGTAATTTGTAAACGTTCATAATTTATAAATGCATGCTGTTCGATCCGTGTGAATTATAAAAGTATAAACAAAAGGTTGAATTTTACTTTTTTGAACAGATGTAAGTTTTGCAAAACCACATTGCAGCCAGTTGTTGCAATTTTTAATTACGGTTTTATTTTTATTTTTATTTTCTACAGGGAGAGGAGAAGGAGAAGCGCTACCACCGAGGGTAAAAGTTCCCCTGACATAACTTTGGTCTCCAAAACCCTTGAAGACTCATTCAAGTGGCAGACTGCTGAAAACATAGGTTCAGACCACCTACCTATCATATTTGAAATCACAGGAGATGAAAATGAAGTAGAACTTGATAGGAACTTATTTGAGGTTTAAGTCGATGAATAACTGGACATAACATTGTAGGTTACATATGGGTAAAGAGACACAATTTATTTGCAGAATTTTATCGCAACTTAATCATTTTTATTGCGATTAAACAATAATTTCAGACTGATTTTTATTTTGTAAGATACTGACGCACGTTTTAAATTTCTAACCTAGAAAAATTTGAACATATTTCTTAATTTTTCTTATGTTAATTAATGGTAGTGAACCGCCAGTAAATACTATACGAATTTTCGATTATTATTCATCTGATAATTTACAAACAGAATAAACACTTTTTAATCGATGATAAGAAAATATTACAATTACAATAATTATAAATTGATTTAGTTTTTCAAAATAAAACTTTTGATACAATTAAAAAATGTTTTTTTGTTTTAACCAATAAAAAGTTTCCTTTCAAGAACTTACTGATGAGATAAAATTACAACAATCAGCTCCTCAGTGGCGTAACGTTGCCCGGGGCGTTACGCCACTGGCTCTTCTTATAGTTTTAACTTGCCCAACAATAGATTAATTTAAATTCAATTATACCTTTAAGTCATCATCATGATTATGCATGCGTAATACTACCAAACGTGACGCTCGCGTTCAAAATGTTCAACATATTTGCTCCGTTTAATTGAGCGAACAGAACATGAAAACAGCGATATCATAGTAGCCAGCCTCGCCCATGTTCAGCCCCTTAACCATGTCCCTCCACCAGGCCCAGTGGTCCGCACTGTCCAGCAGAACTGCGGCTGTTCCTTCGTCACCGTCAGTCATTACTTTTGCTACATCCTCCAGTATCTAAAATTGGGTTTGTTTTAGAAAAAAAGGTGAATTGCTGACGTTTAATTTTGAACGTCTTTTAAATGTTCCCTGACACACGTACTGATGTGAATTTTAAAGCTTGCGCTAAAAACGAATCAGCTGCCAGATTGAAAATTTTCGGCTTTTTGTTTGACAACCCTTCCCCATCAATCGAGTAAATAGGACTTATAAAATTACGGCAGTCTACAAATTAATCAATTTAATGAATCGATAGTAATATGAATCAATTATTATTAATTAAATCGTCTCTTACCTCCAAATCACCGAGGTCGAAGTCCAGTTTACGGAAATCTGGGCGAGGAGTCCTCAGATAGTCAATATTGGAATTATCCCCCCAGCAAAAATCGTAGTCGTTATCATACTCCTCATCCATGCTTCGTTTAGCTCTTCCCTCTTTGGACAAATCTGGGAGTTTTAGTTCAGTATAAACACCAAATATTAATGTTCCATCGTACAAGACTGAAAGATTATTAAGCAAATTTTAAATTTTCACTAAAAAATTTTTTTCTAAGTCTAATTTTTTTTTTCCCGTTTTTAAACTAGCATCTAATATTGATTCGGATAAAAAAGTGTTTAGTTCGTGCCAGTACGAAACACTTAAGTTTAGATAAGACTGTTATGAACCTAGCCAAAACACCTAAACCTATACTCACAACGAGCGGTAATAGTTTCATTTCCCGAAGTAATTCCAGGGTATCGTAGCTTGAAAGCAAGAAAATGAAAATAATTCAGCACATCGTTATTCTCAACGTCAGTCACACAAGCGCAAATATCTGACTGCGGGTCCAAAAGCCGCGCGATCATCTTGTAGCTCCGAGCGACACTATCCCACATCTTCGACATGTGAAGAACGTGGGTTAACTTCACTAAGATGTTTTGGTTCCTTGACCCCCAGCCGGTTCGGTTCATTTTCCGCATTACCTGGACAGAGTTATTAATTTTGTTAAAAATACAGTAGAGCTTTATCCAGGTGCTCAACTATAGTAGCATGATCTGACGAAACTACCGGTAGTTAGTAGTTACCTAACTTAGTACAGTTTTATTTGATCAATAATAATACAATAAGTAGGTTATAACTTGTAATAAAAGTATCAGCAATAATCTAAAATAACAATTTAATCGGAAAGCTGAGTTCCCACCTTCAACTTCAAGCGTGCAACAAACCTGTTGGGATGTGCTATGTACTACCCGATGCTCCTGAATGCCCAAAATCTGTACGCCACTATCCCTCATGCATACACGGACACCCAGCTCATCCCTCTTGTATTGTTCTCTTATTGTTCGTACATTAAGAGTTCCTACAAGAATTTCCTTCTGGCCACGTAGTAGTAGGGTACCAGCCTTTGCTTGAAAGAGTTGGAGCAGGAAATTTGGGTGTGACCCGCCGGTCGAGAGATTAAGGTGTGTGCCCGAGGTAAATACCCCACACACCACTGCTGTTTTCTGACAAAAGTGCTTAAGTAACATTTTGGAAATTTCGGGTTTTTTGGTCTAACTTTTGTTTTTGGGTCAAGAACTATCCCTGAGGACCATTGGATACATTCGCCGACCCCCCGAAACCCCCTTTTTGGAACCCCCTAAAATGCAAAAATTGGTCATTTTTCTGAGAAAAGTGCTGAAGTAACATTTTGGAAAACGGGTGCCGTTTATTTCAAAAATGGTGCCATTTGGGGAACTGAAAATGGTGGCATTGTTTTCTTCGTCCAAAACTGGCCTAGTGACGGCAATTTGGTGATCGTGGGTCTTTTGGCCTGGAAAAAAACAATTTATTGCACTTAAGCACTTTTGTGAAAACGAGCTCGATTTCTCACAAAAGTGCTTAATATAAGTGCCATTATACTTTTAATTAAATGTTGATTCTGTCAACTGAAGCTATATAATCGGTACTTACAAATCTAAATTTTCACGACGGATCGATTGGTGATGGTCATAAACTTCAGGAATGCTAGCTTCGCCGTCAAAATTGCCGATTTGTCAATGCAGAACCTTTCAAAATATACTTCAAAATTTGCTTTAAAATTTGTATTCTCTAATCAGTTGAGACTGCAGATTTTTAGCTAGCCTGACCTAAAATGAAGCAAATTGCTATTGCTGGGAGGAAAGATGAGAACGTATTTTCAACTTTTCAACCTGGGTCAAAGCTATAAGGTATTTTGCTGAAGGGAGAATTGGTGAAAGCCGGGAAATCATTTTGTGGGCAGACAATTGTTCCGCTCACAAGAAATACTGGACGCTTTTCACTGCGCTATGTTCGCTCATAAACAGCCATGACCTCGGGCTTGACACGATAACAGTGAAATATCTGGAGCCAAGCCATACGTTCATGAGCGCTGACTCGTTCCACCATAAAGTGGAATTGTTCATAGAACAGTGCGGACAGCTACATAATTATGTCTTGAGGACTTTGGTGGTGCTGTGGAAAAGGTGGGTACCGCTGTTTCTATGGCCTGTTCGGACTTTCATTCTTGGCCTATAAGGTCATATGGGACAAGCAACCGCTGCAAAACAGAAAGACCACTGCTCGATCAGAAGGTGAAGGTTATCGGGTTTTAGTGGGGCTCGGTCCAAATGGAATGGAAATCAGAGCACAACGAGGTTTCCTTCCGTTCTGCTCCATTTCTGCGACAGAAAGAAAAGAGATTGATCCGGTTAGGTATAATCATAGCTTTCCCACAAAATCAATCACTGGGTATAGTAAGCGCTAAAAAGAAAGATATCGTTTAAAAACTTTGTAGACTTATGAGCCCCCGATTTTTTCGTCAAGTTTTAAATATAAATAGATATATTCTCGATAGTATTGCCTGAATAAATAGTATCTGGAGAGAAGATTTGTAGGATACAATACTTGAGTAGGAACAGTGTGCCTCGTGACGTGTAAAGCTGTAGGTACTTCGCACGACAATAGCTGGATAACGCAACATTGTTCACACACGTTTCGTGTGCCTACTTAGCTTATCAATTACAGTGAATGGGATATTGACTTTGAGTAGGGAATGTTAGGACATGATTGGATCTTGTGATATATAAACTTATAAAGTAAGAATAGCTCATCGCATGTAATACTCAACAAGCTAGTATATTTTTACTACAAGCTTACAGGAAAAATGTTTCATCCTTTTATTTTGTGCTCGATAGATTCGGCCTGGGTCAGCTGCCTTATACTCTTATAGAGTTATAGAGTTATAGAGTGAAACATATCTATTTATTTCTATAGCTGATGATCAAAGGGACAGTTTCAATATTCCGCATTATTACAACCTGTTCCTGACCATACATTTTTCTTGTACGATAAAGCTTTTTTCGAGTATGAGTGTTGTGCCTTATAAAGTGATAACTTTATAACATGGTAAACACTAATTTATCTGCTTACCTAGCTCATAGGCTTCCTCAAACCTGTACATCCGCTAGCTGAACGCTTTATTTAAGGAAATTTAAAATTAGTTATGTTATAGTTTCTTGTTATCATCTATCTATCTACGATCTAGCTCCGCGTCCGTAATATAAATTGTATGGATTTTTATTTGCCGATAACGATAAAGGTTTTATTTAAGTATTCCCTAATCGATACTTTTACTGCATCAAAAAAACATCAATCACAACCAAAGTTATGGATAGTCATAGCGTAAATTGTAATGTGAGCTAGTTATGACGTATCATAGACTTAGAGCATGACAAGTGACAACGCGCGTTGCTAATCTGTTCTTGCTCGCGCACGTGCAATTTCTTGATGTTGCTAAGTAACGACGCTGTTTACCTTTGCTAATAATAACATAACGCCATAATTCTAACGTTTATTTTACCTCACTTCCGACGTTGATTATAGAAAATCTTAAGCCTTAATCAAAATTCTAAGAATGCTATAGCCTATTCCTATCCTTTTTTTTACAACTTTGCTAAAAATGGCGAGGTTTCAACTCCATTTGCGAGCTGAAAGTGGTCACGGCAGAGGGTCATTTTTAGGTCAATTTTCAGCGTTTTTTCTTCCCCGTTGCCGGGGGGAATTCGTTAATTTTTAGAATATCTTAAACAATAATCTCAGTGTTTGTGTGTGTCTGTGCGTGTGTAATTTCCGGTCGGTTATATTAAAAAACGGTAAGAGTTACGGGATTGGTTTTTTCGGTATAGTGCTTACAAAACTCTGACGAAGCCCATAAGCACATTTTTTCTAAATCGGCCGGTGGTAAGTGATTTAATTTATGGTTTTGTACCACAAATTTTACATAAAATGGCTTGAGCAGCTTAATCAAGAAAACGGTAAGAGTTACGGGGCTCGCTCTCTCTCTCATTACTCTACATTACTGCATAATATGTAGCTGCATAAGTAAATCATAATTGGGTTATTCAGGTAATAATCGCTGTAATGTTATACTATAAGCTTATTAGGGGAGGGGCCGGCACTGTTTGGGGTCTGTTTGGACTGCACAGAGAGAGTTCATACGACAATAGGACAATGTTATGCGTGTTTTCAAATATAATAGGCAGGACGCAGGTGTGGTGCGGAGTTAACAAGGGTTAATTTATAAAACGATTTAAATAAAAATGGAAAGCGGTTCAAGACGGGAGTGATGAGGTGTAATAGTCGGTGTTCAGACCTTATGATCATGGAATGTGGTGCCCAATAATGACTTAGTGACTTAATTATCCACGAGAAAGAACTGATTGTGAGATTATTGTTTAAGATACTATTGGATACGTGAGGGCACTCCGAATAGAATTGCTCACCTAATGCGGGTTTTGGCTCAGCGGGTTTAATTACTCCTATACCTTTTTAACTGCAGCAGTGAAATCCCGGCCGAAGGCCGGGTTACACTAGTAATATAAATAATTCGCAAAACCTTGGCCTTAATTTACTTCTTAATTTAATTTCTATAGAAAGAAACTTATTTATTGTTATCCCGTACTATCACTAATCGACTCTTCGTCAAAACAAGCGTCAAAATGCTGGTAGAATTCCGATTCGAAAACAAAATTTTATCACGTTGCCACTATTTTTTAATCCGCTGGGGAGAAGGGAGTGTTTTGGTGTTATTTGACCATCACCAATCAATTTGTAGTAAAATTTTAGGTCAGAATGATTGCAGATAATTTCCCACTAATGTTGGTGCACTTAAGCACTTTTCTCAGAAAACGAAATATTAAAATTTTTTATTTCAGCGTGTCCCAATATTACAACTTTACAACCAGTGTTTCATCAAAACAGTATAAGGCTAATTTTTCATCTAATTTATTTCGATGACCAATGATTTGAACGGGTCATTTTCATCAGAACATGGAGTTTTTTGCCGATGTGGCAGTACTTAAGCACTTTTCTAAGAAATTCAAGCTATAATTTGTGATTTTGAGGCACTTTTCGAGAAGTTACGATGATGAAACCTTGTCATAAGTCTCAAAAGTCGACAAAGCACCTTAGATGAATAGTGGGTGCAGTTTAAATTTGACAGCAGCAGCTAGCCCAGAGCAATTACAGAATTGAAATCTTTAAATTCAATTTGCACAAAATGAACCTTGTGTTACTCAAGCACTTTTGTCAGAAAACGGAAGTATAATCTTATAATGCACATGACTTGTGGTTGTGGGTCGTCAACCTACTACTCTCTTTGTCACTCCTTTATTTTTGTTTGCTCTTTTCATACTCCGATCTGCGTCACTAGCTGTACCATGTTTACACTGTATTAAATTATAACAATGAGTTCTGTTGAACGTTCCGTGTTCACGCAAGATCTTGTAATCTCTTATCACTTTATCAGCACCGAGTGTTAACTGCAGCATACTTCAGCAGTTTACTGGGCTCGATTTCCGCGGCTATATATCTCAAGGACTT